CCCCCAGCAGGACCGCCTCCAGGTCCGACAGCAGTAGCCTCAGCGCCAACACCCTCAGCAGCTCCAGCTCCAGTCGTACCCGCAGGCCCAGCAGCTCCAGTACTCCCAGTACGAGCACCTCCGGGACCCGCGGCACCAGCACCCTCAGCAGCCGAAGAACCTCCAGCTCCAGCAGCACGCCTCCAGCGCCGGGCAAACCACTCGCGCAGCTCCTGTGGAGAGAGTGCCTCCCGTCGAGACGAAGCACCCGGAGAACCTCCAGGCTCAGCACCGCCAGACGCCACACGAGCAGGCCCAGCTCCCTCAGGCTCCGCACCCCCAGGCTCAGCACCTCCAGGCGTAGCACCCCCAGGCGTAGCACTCCCAGGCTCAGCACCCCCAGGCTCAGCACCCCCAGTAGTAGCACCCCCAGGCTCAGCACCCTCAGGCTCAGCACCCCCAGTAGTAGCACCCTCAGGCTCAGCACCCCCAGGCGTAGCACCCACACGCTCAGCACCCCCAGAGTCAGCACCCCCAGGCTCAGCACCCTCAGCAGCACCAGAGTCACCAGTAACCTCGACAGGCTCGACTGCGTCTACCTGGGACACACCTGAAGGGGCAGGACCCTGAGGGGGGAGGGGGTCTACCGGGGGGGGACCTGGGACAAGGAAGAGCGGTGGCGGGGGGAGGGACGGAGTGCGGTAGGGGAAGAGGCGGTAGTAGGGGACCGACTCGTCAAACGTGACGTCCTGGGAGGACAGAACACGGCGAGAGGTGGGGTGGTAGAACTGCCACCCTGGCGCGTCAGGGGGGAAGCCAAGGAAGACGCAAGGAGCAGCACGAGGGGACAGCTTGTCCGCAGACAAGTCGCGGACAAACGCCCGAGATCCCCAGACACGGAACGCAGACGCATCGCCAACCTTCCCCGTCCACAGCAAAGCTGGGGAGGTCTCCGGCATGGAGACCCTGGGGTGAAGGTTGATCTGATGCGCCGCGTACCGAACCGCAAACGGCCACAGAAAATGGGGGGCAGCCGCATGCATCATGGACGTACGGGCGACATCCATGATCATGCCAATGCGGCGCTCAGCAATCCCATTTTGCTGTGGAGAGTCCGGAAGCGTGAAGGTCTGGCGGATGCCTCGTGCACGACAGTAGGCTCGCAGAAGGCCAGAGGAGAACTCTCCACCTCTGTCAGAGTGCAGACGCTGAACAGGAAAGTCCGAGCCGAAGCTCTGCCTGAGCTGGAGACGAGCTGCGCGGATCCAGTCGATCAACACCTCAGTGACATCACCCTTGCTGCGCAAGGGGAAGACTGTGGTGTAACGCGAGTAGTCGTCAACCACCAGCAGGAAGTAGCGCTCGTGACCCTGTCCACGGACGCGGGCCGGGCCCCACACGTCCATGTGAAGCGTCTGCAGCGGGGCCTCTGTCGGAGGAAACTGGGAGGAGTGAGGGGCAGCCCGCTGCCGCCCCTCGACACAGGGGACGCAGGTAGGGCCAGGCCCCGGAGGAAGGGGAGGGAGGGACCGGGGAAGACCAGAGACAAGGACACGGGAGGCCATGCTTCGGAGACGAAGCAGGGAGGGGTGACCAAGGCGGTGGTGCCAGAGGAGAGTCTCGTGAGACAGGAGGCGACACGAACAGGGGGCAGACTCAGGACCAGACCTGGACGCTGCAGCAAACACCTGACCCGACGCAGCTACCTGACCAGACGTAGTGACTGGAGGAGACGCAGTGGTCAGGGTGTACAGGCTCGACCCCGGCCGACGGGTAAACGTGGCCAGGTGTCGGCCTGTCCGAGCGTCCGTGCAGTGGGTCACCCGCTGACTCGCAGGAGTGAACTGGTGAACCCCCGCATCCTGGAGGTCAGCACCACTCACCAAGTTCGTAGAGAACGAGGGAAGGTAAAGACCAGACAGGGTGCCAGAGGGGGCCGCCGGACACGGGAGGACAGTGGAGAAGTGAGCAAGGACAGGACCCCCAGAGGGGTCTGCCAGAGAGACTGCAACTGGCCGGCTAAGCGGCGTGAGTGTGGTGCGGTCTCGAAAGAAGGAGCGAGAAGCCCCCGAGTCAAGGGTGAAGGTGTGGGAGGCCGAAGCCGACGCAGAACCTGAGAGAGCAGACTCACCAGCACCTGAGGGAGCAGACGCACCTAGAGCAGCAGCCTCGCTAGCACCTAGAGCAGCAGCCTCACCAGTACCTAGAGCAGCAGTCTCAATGCCCGGGTCGGGCGGAAAACACCGGTAACAGTCACCCTCATCACTAATAGTCACAGTATACATGGCAGCAAGAATAGCATCAAAGTCAAGGTCAAAGACAGCCACACCCGCCCTAGACAGCTCACCCCAGCGGGGGATCTCAGTGGCCTCAGGGAACTGGTGACGCCAAGCGTCCGTCAGGCGGCCAAAGCAGCGCTGGGTGGAGTGCGCACCCCCGCACTGCTCACCCGCGCGGTCGCCGGTGCGGAGGACGTAGGCGCACGGACCAGTACCCCCACCCCTCTGGCGTGCAGTGTACCACTCACGGAGCTGCTGAGGGGAGGGGATGTCACGAGTGCGCTGCTGTTGCTGCTGCTGCTGCTGGCGCTGACCACCACCGGAGCCGACCCTCTGCGCAGCGCCACCCCGACCAGCTCCACCTCCTCCGCCGCCTCCTCCTCCACCGCCGCCACCTCCGCTCCCTCCGCCACTGCCGCTGCCGCCTCCGCCTCCACTGCCGCCACCGACACCTCCACCCCCGCCACCACCCCCACCGCCACCCCCACCTCCTCCACCGCCTCCACTGCCGCCTCCACCGCCCCCGCTAGCTCCTCCAGCGCCCCTGCCCCCCTTGCCCTTGCCAGGGCGGCGTCTCCCGCTAGGGGTAGACGCCGCACCGACCGACTCAAGCCCAACGAGGTCGGCCGCAGCAGCCGAGGCAATTGAGGGCAAAAGGGGGGAGGGGGAACACCCCTCAAAGATGGGGGTGCGAGGGTCACCACGAGAGGCTCCTACAGCTACTATGCTCTTCTCTGCTGCTAGGAGGGACTTCTCGAGGAGGTCAACGGTGAGAGTGGTGGGGCAAACTGAGAGGAAGTGGTCCCTGACTACGCGAAGGGAGTCAGGGAGCCGGGTGACTATGTAGTAGAGGGTGATGTACATGGGGGGGGGGTTCTTGGCGCAGAACTCAGCAGGAAGCGCAGCGCGGTAGCGAGTGTCACTAGTGCGTAGGTGCGTAATGAGGTCAGCGACTGTGGGAAAGGCAGCAAGGTCAGGGAAGAGGTACGGTAGCATGAGGCGACTCAGTGCAGCAGTGGCAGGGGAGGAGTAGCGTGCAACTACAGCGTCGTACAAGGTCTGAGCACTCTTGTACTGGCTAAAGTGCGCACGCTCAGAGGTAGGCAGGTGGCGACGCACAGCAAGACGTGCAGCAGCATCGCGCGTGGCCCACTGGGAGCGAACAGTTGCGTCAGCATCAGTGGCGGGGGCAGGAGAGGCACCAAAAGTGAGGTCAAAGAGGGAGAGGCCGTCTGCCCTATCACACTGTAAGAAAAGCTGCAGGTCATCTATCCAGACGTCAAAGTCAATGGCCCGACCCTCAGCGTCAAAAGCGAGGACACTAGGGGTAGCCATGACAGCAGTAGACTAGCAGCGCAAACAGTGGGGTGAGGGCAGTGCTGTGAGAGAGGCGCTGCTCTTACCGGACAGGGCGGCTCGGGCGGCTCGGCTGCAGGGCGGCTCGGCGACTCGGCTGCTGGGCGGCTCGGCTGCTGGGCGGCTCGGCGGCTCGGCTGCTGGGCGGCTCAGCGGCTCGGCTGCTGGGCGGCTCGGCGGCTCTGCTGCTGGGCGGCTCGGCTGCTGGGCGGCTCGGCGGCTCGGCTGCTGGGCGGCTCGGTGGCTCAGCTGCTGGGCGGCTTAGCGGGGCCGCTGAGAGGGCCGCGTCAGGGGCCGCTGGGAGGAGGCGGCGGGGCCGCTGAGAGGGGGCGGCGGGGCCGCTGAGAGGAGGCGGCGGGGCCGGAAAGGTAGGTGGCGGGGTCGCGTCAGGGGCCGCGGCAGGGGCCGCGTCAGGGCGCCGCCAGGGGCCGCGGCAGGGCCGCGTCAGGGCCGCGTAAGGGGCCGCGGCAGGGGCCGCGTCAGGGGCCGCGTCAGGGCCGCGTCAGGGCCGCGGCAGAGCCGCGTCAGGGCCGCGTTAGGGGCCGCTTCAGGGCCGCGGCAGGGGCCGCAGCAGGCCGCGTCAGGGCCGCGTCAGGGGCCGCGGCAGGGCCGCGTCAGGGCCGCGGCAGGGGCCGCGTCAGGGCGCCGCGTCAGGGGCCGCGTCAGGGCGCCGCCAGGGGCCGCGTCAGGGCCGCGGCAGGGCCGCGTCAGGGCCGCGGCAGGGCCGCGTCAGGGCCGCGTCAGGGCCGCGTCAGGGCCGCGGCAGAGCCGCGTCAGGGCCGCGTCAGGGGCCGCTTCAGGGCCGCGGCAGGGGCCGCGGCAGGCCGCGTCAGGGCCGCGTCAGGGGCCGCGGCAGGGCCGCGTCAGGGCCGCGGCAGGGGCCGCGTCAGGGCGCCGCCAGGGGCCGCGTCAGGCCGCGTCAGGGCCGCGTCAGGCGCCGCCAGGGGCCGCGTCAGGGCGCCACCAGGGGGCGCGTCAGGGGCCGCGATAGGGCGCCGGCAGGGGCCTCGTCAGGGCGCCGCCAGGGGCCGCATAGGGGGCGCGTGGGAGGCGGCGTAGGGGCCGCGTAGGGGCAGCGTAGGGGCCGCTAAAAAAAAAAAAAAATTAGGGCAGGGCGCAATGTGCGCGGGCAGCTAAAAAAAAAATTCTTATGGTGGGCCCTTAGGAAGGAACGGTCCCATGTAGGAACCCGCTCTATACCATGTGAATCAAGAAAACAGGAATGAAATGACTAAGTGAAAGTTGGGTACAAAAGGCAAACCCTAGGAAACTGTACCCCATATGTGCTACCCCACTATAGCCTACAGTAACTATGTCAAATAACTCTGACACTCGGCGCTACTACTACTAGTAGTACCTTCGCTTGCCGAGAGCACCCGCGACGCGATGATGAAGACGGACGTTCCCGGGGCGGCCGCAGCTGCCGCGCTGCTCCTTGTCGCGCTTCTCATTGGTACGCCTCCGCTCCCTGCATCCCTGCCTCGCTCCCTCTCCATGCCCGTGAAAAGCTCACGGAATCTTCAAGATTCTTCCGCCAGGCATGACTTCCGATCGCAATTCACCCTGGCGGAATTGGAGTGTTGCTGGGAGCACCTGCCTCTGCCAGCAAGGTGGTGCTGAGCGCCACAAGCGAGGCCGTGAGCGCGAGCGAGGCCGTGAGCGCGAGCGAGGCCCTGAGCACGAGCGAGGCCGTGAGCGCGAGCGAGGCCGTGAGCGCGAGCGAGGCCGTGAGCGCGAGCGAGGCCGTGAGCGCGAGCGAGGCCGTGAGCGCGAGCGAGGCCGTGAGCGCGAGCGAGGCCGTGAGCGCGAGCGAGGCCGTGAGCGCGAGCGAGGCCGTGAGCGCGAGCGAAAGCGTGAGCGCGAGCGAGGCCGTGAGCGCGAGCGAGGCCGTGAGCGCGGACCTCCGCGTGGGCACATCCGCGCTCGCCGCCGGCTCTTGAGAGTCCGACTCAACCCTTCTCCCATCCCCATGTCACGTCCTCGCAGCGAGTAACGGAATCGGAGCATCGCTGGGAGCACCTGCCTCTGCCGGCAAGGAGGTGATGAGCGCGGAGAGTGACGTGAACGAGGCGGTGAGCGTGGAGAACGAGTTGGTGAAAGCGGACCTCTTCGTCGGCACAGGCGTGCTCGTCGGCTCGCTCGCTCAGCCCGACCTCATCACCTTCAATCAGGGTATCTGCAGCAGCATAACCATGCCCGGAACCGGGGAGGGGGAAGGCGGCGGCGGCAGCGGCGGCGGCAACGTGGACGCGCTTGCGTTGTGGTACTCGCCTACAGATCCTGCAAACCGCCCTTCGTGCAACGCGCTGCATCTGTTCACGATGGAATTCTGCGAGGGCAAAGCGGCAGGGAAACTCTTCAACAATGGTGGTGGCATGATGAGGTGAGCTGAGCATTCCATATGTCCGTTCGTTACTGTCGATGAGCTGTCGCAGGGTGCATGAGGTGAGCTGAGTTGTCACTAGCATTTGTCTGTTTGTTACTGTTGGTGAGCTCTTGCAGGATTCACAATGCGGCCCCATCCCCCCTCATGTTACTACTGAGCAGCAAATCTCCCACTCCCCTTCGTGCGGCCCCAATCCCCCACATGCCCCACTTCTCCTCCCTTCCCCTCCTTTCCCCAACCCATGCGCCTATCCCCACGCCCTAATCCCTACCCCGTGCGCCCCTCCCCCTGTGCGTGTGTGAGCTGGCACTTCAAGATGCTCTCATCTGTGAAGTCCGTCCGCTGCGTCTAAATACCCCATGCGCCCATCCCCACGCCCCCGCCCCTTGTGCGTCCCCCTCCCCCCGTGCGGCCCCCTTCCCCCGTGCGCCCCCCCCCTGTGCGTGTGTGAGCAGGCACTTCAAGATGCTCTCATCAGTGAAGTCCGTCCGCTGCGTTATCTGTGCGTGCCCTGCTGCTGCCATGCAATGGCTTTTCTGCTGCTATTTCCATCTATTGTCCTGTTGCTATTTCCATCTATTGCCCTGCTTGCCCTCATGCTGCCAGGCATGCCCTGCTGCTGCCATGCAATGGCTTTTCTGCTGCAATTGAAACACTTTTCCACCCATGCCTCTCCCCCCATGCCTCTCCCCCCATTCCTCTCCCCCCATGCCTCTCCCCCCATGCCTTTCCCCCCATGCCTCTCCCCCCATGCCTCTCCCCCCATGCCTCTCCCCCCATGCCTCTCCCCCCATTCCTCCCCCCCCATGCCTCTCCCCCCATGCCTCTCCCCCCATGCCTCTCCCCCCATGCCTCTCCCCCCATGCCTCTCCCCCCATGCCTCTCCCCCCATGCCTCTCCCCCCATGCCTCTCCCCCCATGCCTCTCCCCCCATGCCTCTCCCCCCATGCCTCTTCCCCCATGCCTCTCCCCCCATGCCCCTCCCCCGATGCCCCACCCCCCATACCTCTCCCCTCATGAATCTCCCCCCATGCATCTCCGCTGTGCATCCCCCTGTTCTTCTCCCCCCATGCCTGCACCATGCCTTTCCCCCATGCCTCTTCCCCCATGCCTCTACCCCCCCGCATCCACCCCTGTGCATTTCCCCCCTTGCCTCTCCCCCCGTTCCTCTCCCCATCCATCCCTCTCGCCTCATCCCTCTCCCCATCCATCCCTCTAGCCTCATCCCTCTCCCCATCCATCCCTCTCCCCCCATCCCTCTCCCCATCCATCCCTCTCCCCCCATGCCTCTCCCCCCATGCCTCTCCTCCCATGCCTCTCCCCCCATGCCTCTCCCCCCATGCCTCTTCCCCCATGCCTCTCCCCCCATGCCCCTCCCCCGATGCCCCACCCCCCATACCTCTCCCCTCATGAATCTCCCCCCATGCATCTCCGCTGTGCATCCCCCTGTTCTTCTCCCCCCATGCCTGCACCATGCCTTTCCCCCATGCCTCTTCCCCCATGCCTCTACCCCCCCGCATCCACCCCTGTGCATTTCCCCCCTTGCCTCTCCCCCCGTTCCTCTCCCCATCCATCCCTCTCGCCTCATCCCTCTCCCCATCCATCCCTCTAGCCTCATCCCTCTCCCCATCCATCCCTCTCCCCCCATCCCTCTCCCCATCCATCCCTCTCCCCCCATGCCTCTCCCCCCATGCCTCTCCCCCCATGCCTCTCCCCCCATGCCTCTCCCCCCATGCCTCTCCCCCCATGCCTCTCCCCCCATGCCTCTCCCCCCATGCCTCTTCCCCCATGCCTCTCCCCCCATGCCCCTCCCCCGATGCCCCACCCCCCATGCCTCTCCCCTCATGAATCTCCCCCCATGCATCTCCGCTGTGCCCCCCCCTGTTCTTCTCCCCCCATGCCTGCACCATGCCTTTCCCCCATGCCTCTTCCCCCATGCCTCTACCCCCCCGCATCCACCCCTGTGCATATCCCCCCTTGCCTCTCCCCCCGTTCCTCTCCCCATCCATCCCTCTCGCCTCATCCCTCTCCCCATCCATCCCTCTAGCCTCATCCCTCTCCCCATCCATCCCTCTCCCCATCCATCCCTCTCCCCCCATGCCTCTCCCCCCATGCCTCTCTCCCCATGCCTCTCCCCCCATCCCTCTCGGTGTGAACCAGACAACATCTGCCAGCGGGCCACGTGCCAGGCACACTCCAAGTGCATAAAGACAAATGATAGATATGGGGCGGCATGCCAGTGCACCCAGGGCTACCGTGCTGCCTACAACATTTGCCAGCCCGAGTAGCATCCCCTCCCACCTGTAAGCCTCCCAATAGCCGCCCCTCCTGCCTCCGAATTGGCTTCAGCCAATTCCTACCATCCCAATAGCCATCCCTCTTCTCCACTCTGTACCTCCCTCACCCTCTCTCCTCACCCTCCCACCCTCTCTTCCCCTCTCATCCCTGATTGCCTTCCTCTCCCACTCCGTCCTCCATACACCTCTCCACATCCCTTCCTCTCTCCTGTCCTGTCCTCCCTCACGCTCTCCCATTCCTTCCCGCCATTTTCCCTGTGTCCTAGTCATTGGTTCTCGCCTTGTCTACTGCAGAGCCTCTCCACTGCCACTGCTATGCTAAGATCCCTTGCAAAGCCTCTCTCCCCTCTCCCATTCCTTCCCGCCATGTTCCCTGTGTCCTAGTCATTGGTTCTCGCCTTGTCTACTGCGGAGTCCCTCCACTGCCACTGCTATGTTGGGAACCCTTGAGAAGCCTCTCTTTCCTCTCCCCCTCCTCTCGACCCTCTCATGTCTCCCCTCTCCCTCCTGTCTATCTTCTGCCTCTATCCATCTGCATGCCTCATCTATCTTGTTGTCTGCTGCAGCCCTTTCCTGAGCCACTGCTATGCTGAGAGGTTATGCAGACACCAGCCCCTGGAGAAAAGAGCCTCTGCAGATGCCCTATAGAACCCCTGGAGCTGAGAACCTGAGTGAAATATTTAATGTAATAAAAAGAGGGAGCAAATATTTGTGAGAATAAACGAGAGGAATGAAAGAACTAGAGAGAAGGTGGGTACAAGTAGCAAACACAAAAGTGTTGTACCCTCTAAGGACACACTACAGCCTAAAGAGACTATAGCATATATAAGTTTGACAAACCCCCATAGGCAAAGTGGGGGAGAACAAGAGGTCACAAGACCAGTCAAGAAAGGCAAAGCAAGCTCAGGGTGGATCACAAAGTCACCACGCAGTCTGAGCACAAGCAAATGGCCACAAGGCCAGTTCACATGCAGAGTTATATAAAAGAGAACAAACAATACACTGAACACAACCTAGCAAGTGTAAGCATGCAGGTATATGTATAAAGAGTACAGTACAGGCAGAGTCAAGAAGAAAGCAAGTGAGGCACAGTAGGTACAAGGCCTAACACAGTACAGAAACGATGATGATCACAAGGCTGAAGTGCCTTGGTGAAAACATCAGCAGTGTTGGCCTGAGAAGCCACGTAAGCAAGACGAAGCTGGCCACGCTGCTGCAACTCTCGAGCAAGGAAGTAGCGCAGAGCAATGTGCTTCGTTCTGTGCTCTAGTCTGTGCTCCTGACACAAGGCCAGCATGGCCTTGTTGTCGACGTACAGAACTGGAGGAGAACGAGGCGCCTCTCTCAAGTCGGTCAGCAGGTAGGTGAGCCAGCGAAGCTCCTGTGCAGCCATGGCCCCAGCGTAGATCTCAGCCTCACAACTGGAGCTGAGAACAGAAGAAGAGCGGGTAGACCGCCAGGAGACAGAACCGGAGCCAAGACTGAAGGTGTAACCCTGTGACGACCACTGCGTAGCCAAGTCGTCAACCCAGGAGGCGTCAGCGTGACCAGTGAGGACAACTCGAGCCCGTCCTCCAAGCACGAGCCCCATGCCCGATGTACTGCACAAGTATCGCAACACCCTCTTCGCAGCATCCCAGTGCACCTTTCGGTGCCTGCCGGGAGCCACGTAGCGAGCCAGAAGGCTGAGAGGGTATGCAAGGTCAGGTCGTGTGCAAGTCATCAGGTACATGAGGCAGCCCACAAGCTCTGGATACGGGCCACTCGGCTCTACGGACTCGTCCGAAGGTGGAGCTGAGAGCGAGTGACCGGTAGGCAGAGGAGTGGACTGTGGCGAGGAGTACGTGAAGCCAAACCGCTGAAGGACCTGCTGCACCATGTGTGACTGAGTCAAGGTAATGGTGCGCTGTGCTCTGTCCCGGTTGATCCGCAAGCCAAGATAGCTTGTCTGTGCACGTGTGTCTCTTCTGCAGCTCCGACTTCACGTGGGCGAGTGCATCAGTGTCAGCATTAGCAAAGACGAGGTCGTCTACGTACACGAGAACGTAGAACGGCGGCAGAGTGGTGTCAGTGCGTAGAAACAGAGAAGGGTCAGAAGTGGAAGGAGCAAAACCAAGAGCAGCAAGAGTCGTCCTGAGTGTGTCGTGCCACTCATGGGGTGCCTGGCGGAGACCGTAGACTGGCCGCCGGAGGCTCCACTGGGTACCAGCAGGAAACGACCCAGTGAAGCCAGGTGGGCGGCGCAGCCAGATCTCCTCGTGCAGGCTGCTCTGGAGGAAGGCTGTGCTGAATTCAAGCAAGTGGAGCTCGTAGTCACGCTGAGCAGCAACATGCAGCAGTACCCGAAAAGTGGTCATCTTTGGGGTAGGGGAGAAGGTCTGAAAGAAGTCAACTCCCTGTCGCTAACTGAAACCACGTGCAACGTAATGCGCCTTGAAGGCAGGCGGAGAACCAGGCGGCCGCTTCACCCTGAAGATCCACATGCCACTGACGATGTTCGCCCCAGGTGGGGGAACCTCGTCTACGTAGGTGCCAGTGGACTTCCAGGAAGCCATCTCGGCGTCCATGGCTGCCTGCCACTGAGAGGAGTAGGGACCCTCTATCGCCTCTGCGTAAGAGCGCGGGGTCGGGATGTCTGGAGCATCCGGGTCTCCCTCAGGGGCAAGCAGCATGGACACGAGATGAGGTACAGCAGCGGCAAAGCACTCAAACTCCTCCTGTCTGTCCTCAAGGACGTCCGTGCCAAGAGCACACTCACCCCCGACGGACGGAGGACAGACAGACGCAGACGCAGACTCAGCAACAAGACTAGTGGCGTAGTCTAGGCGACAGGCTGAAGCAAAGTCAACAAGCTCAGTAACAAGAGCAGACGCAGCAGTGGACTCAAAGAAAGGGTCAGTGACAACAGTGGCCAGAAAGCGCGTGACAGTAGGACTAGCAGCACGAAGGGAGTCAGACTCCGGGTCCGGACCGCCAGGAAGGGAGGACGCAGGAGGAGACGGTAGAGGGACACGCTGTGGAGCAGAGGAAGGACGCAGAGTCATAGAGTGAGTGCCAGGGACAGGAGGAGGACGCGGACGCGAAACACGACCAGCGCGAGCAGTGCGGACAGGCGACGCAGAACGAGACTCAGGCGACACAGGACGAGACTCAGGCTCGCGACGCTCCGTAAGACCTCTAGTCGGTCCAGAGTAGGGAGAAGGACCAGGCAGTGGAGAGGCCGGCTGCAACTGCGACTGGGACCGGACAGGCGGTGGACTCAGGAAAGGAGGAGGAGGACTAGGAGAAGGCGGGGAGCTAAGAACCTGCTGAAGGAGCGGAACGTAGTACGGCCGCGGCCGGGCAGCGCCTCCAGAAACAGCAGAGACAGAACCGGTACCCTCAGCCCCAGGGTCTCTAGGCCCAGCACCACCTCCAGCAGCTCCAGCACCAGCAGCACCTCCAGCAGCACCAGTAGCTCCAGCACCAGCAGCACCTCCAGCAGCTCCAGCAGCTCTAGCACCAGCAGCACCTCCAGCAGCACCAGTAGCTCCAGCACCAGCAGCACCGCCAGCAGCTCTAGCAGTACCTCCAGCAGCTCCAGCAGCTCCAGCACCAGCAGCACCTCCAGCAGCTCCAGCACCAGCAGCACCCCCACCAGCGCCAGCACCAGCAGCACCTCCAGCACCAGCAGCACCTCCAGAAGCTCCAGCAGCACCTCCAGCAGCTCTAGCAGCTCCACCAGCAGCAGCAGCACCTCGACAGCGCCGAGAGTACCACTCACGAAGCTGCTGTAGAGAGAGAGGCTCCCGCCGCGATGGGACACCTAGAGCACCTCCAGACTCAGCACGCACAGGCTCAGCACGCCCAGACCCAGCACCCCCAGAGGCAGCACCCCCAGACTCCACACGCTCAGGCTCAGCACCCCCAGTCCCCACACCCCCAGTCCCCGCACCCGCAGGCTCAGCACCCCCAGTCCCCGCACCCCCACTCCCCGCACCCGCAGGCTCAGCACCCCTAGCAGCACCTGAGTCGACAGCTACCTCGACCGGCTCGGCAGGGTCTACCTGGGACACACCTGAGGGGGCAGGACCCTGGGGGGGGAGGGGGTCTACCGGAGGAGTACCTGGTGCTAGGAAGAGCGGCGGGGGGGGGGGGAGAGGCAGTGCGGTAGGGAAAGAGACGGTAGTACGACACCGACTCGTCAAACGTGACGTCCTGAGAGGACAGAACACGACGCGAGGTGGGGTGGTAGAACTGCCACCCGGGTGCGTCAGGAGGGAAGCCAAGGAAGACACAGGGAATGGCACGGGAGGACAGCTTGTCCGCTGTAGTATCGCGGACAAAAGCTCGAGATCCCCAAACACGGAACGCGGACGCATCGCCAACCTTCCCCGTCCACCGCAGAGTAGGTGTGGTCTCCGGCAAGGAGACACGAGGCTGAAGGTTGATCTGATGCGCAGCGTACTGAACCGCGAACGGGCACAGAAAATGGGGAGCAGCCGCATGGATCATGGACGTACGAGCGACGTCCATGACCATGCCAATGCGGCACTCAGCAATCCCATTTTGCTGCGGGGAGGCCGGAAGCGTGAATGTCTGGCGGATGCCCTCCGAACGACAGAAGGCCCTCAGGAGGTCGGAGGAAAACTCCCCACCTCTGTCTGAGTGCAGACGCAGAACAGGAAGGTCCGAGCCGAAACTCTCACTGAGCTGGCGACGAGCACCGCGGATCCAGTCGATCAACACCTCAGGGACCTCACCCTTGCTGCGCAAGGGGAAGACTGTGGTATAACGCGAGCAGTCGTCAACAACCAGCAGGAAGTAACGCTCGTGACCCTGTCCACGGACGCGGGCTGGGCCCCACACGTCCAAGTGAAGAGTCTGCAGAGGAGCCTCAGTTGGAGGGAACGAGGAGGAGTGAGGAGCGGCGCGCTGCCGGCCCTCGACACAGGGAACACAGGTGGAGGCAGGCCCCGGAGGAAGGGGAGGGAGGGACCTGGGGAGACCAGAGACAAGGGCACGGGAGGCCATACCTCGAAGACGAGGCAGGGAGGGGTGACCAAGGCGGTGGTGCCAAAGGAGAGTCTCGTGCGACAGAGGACGACACGAGCAGGGGGCAGACGCAGGACTAGACCTGGACGCGGCAGAAAACACCTGACTAGACGCAGCTACCTGACCAGACGCAGAGACCGGAGGAGGCGCAGTAGTCAGTGTGTACAGACTCGACCCTGGCCGACGGGTGAACGTGGCCAGGTGGCGGCCCGTCCGAGAGCAAGTGCAGTGGGTCACACGCTGACCTCCAGGGGTGAACTGGTCAACCCGCGCGCAGGGGGCGACGCCGCGAGCAGGGGCGACGCCGCACGGGCAGGGACGACGTCGCGGGCAGGGGCGACGCCGCGGGCAGTGGGCGACGCCGCGAGGGCAGGGGCGACGCCGCGCGGGCAGGGGCGACGCCGCGCGGGCAGGGGCGACGTCGCGGGCAGGGGCGACGCCGCGGGCAGGGGCGACGCCGCGCGGGTCCCGCAGGGGCGTCGCGACGAGGCAGGGTGGCGACGGGGCGGGGCCGCGACCGGTGACGGGACGGGGCCGCCGCGG